GGTCGGGCCGGGTCGGAGTCAGCAAACCGGACGAGCGAAGCGCCCCGCAGCTCCTGTGAAGCCGGGCGAGGAGTTCTGGCAGGCGTTGCAGCGGGCGGGCGGTCTGGTCAGCCATTTGCCTTGGCCCGGCCCAGGGCGAAGCCAGAACACAGGCTAAAAAGCCGCTAATTAAAGAGCCACTTTGCCACTGGCATACTCCGAAGGGCTTCCCTGGAAAAGGAGCAAAGCCCAGAAGCCACGGACGGCCCCAAGACGGTCCTGCAGCTGGTGTGAAACCGCCTGACTTATAAGCCGCTCAGAGTCACCCTGCGGGGAGACGGGCGGCATATAAATGTAATAATAGAAGAACTAACTCACCCCAGCTGAGGGTGGCTGTTTATTCAGGGGGGTCCTTGTGTCTTTACTGGCTTCTACGAAATCTAGCTTCCCACGGGACCTAGTGCGATCGTTTGGGTTCTTTAGCGCATTTGTGGGAACTTGGAACTTGTGGTCTGTGGAGCGAAGTCGGTTGAAGAAACTGATTTGATGCAGGGTGGAGACCCAGAACAGTCCAGCGAGGAGGAAAGGGCACGCCGGCTTTCAGACTAAAAAGGCAGAACGCGCGAGAGAGGAAAGACAGAAAGACTGCTGCTTCAAAGCATGCTGATATTTATTTCTAGCCTTACTGGAAAAACTGTAAGCAGGTGGATCTGAGAGCGGATTGGACTGGATGGAAGACCACCAGGAGATTCTAAGGCTGTAGATGAGATTAGGAAATGGGGGGGGGGAACCAGGAAGGAGGAAATAATAAGCGGGTTGTCAAGAAAACTGCCTGGACTTAGCTCACCAGAACCAGAGTGTGACTCAAGGGAGCCTTTCTTCATTTACAATATATCTAACCTGAGGGAAGCGGAGATCTTGCTTGAATAGCACGTGTCTCACTCTTAGTTTTGGGGGGCTGATGGGTGAAACCAGAAAGCCTTGCTGCTTTTAGTTCCCAGAGCAACAGCCAAGGAAGACTGCAATTAGAGCAGGGCGTAATGACTCTGTGAAGTCTTCCGCCCAACGGATGAGCAAAGCAACTGGCTGGATTTTCTGAACGTCTGCAGAGAAAGCAGAAATTCTCAAGGGTGGGCCTTCTCCTTTTGGTGACAGTAGCACCACTGCTGAAAATGGCCTCCCGTAAGAATGTTTTTCTGCAGACTTCCCTTGGAACATAATGGAAATGTGGAAAGCCACGGAGGCTGTAGACTACACAGTGAAAGGGAAGATCGCAACTCACAACCCTTGGCCAAAGGGTAATTAAATAAGTGTAAGAGCCAGCAGGATATAGTGGCTAAGGCAGTGTTTCTCAACCTTGGGTGGCTGGGGAATTCTGGGAGTTGAAGTCCACACATCTTAAAGTTCTCAAAGTTGAGAAACCCTTGGCTGAGGTGTCAGACTAGGGCTGGGGAGACTCAGATTCTAATCTACCTTCAGGAAATTTACTGGTGGCTTTGGACCAGTCACTCTCTCACCCCAGCCTCACAAAGTGGTTATGGTTGTGAGGCAAAAAGGGTGAAGCGGGTGCTGTGTATATGGCCTTAAACTTCTGGAATGAAGGCAGGGCATACATTTAATCAGTCAATACTCCTCTTTGCACATCCTAATTTCTCATAATTGGTCTTCTCCCTTGAATGAAACTGTAGAAGCAATACCGGTTCATCAAACTGAGTGAGTTCTGGTGGGGGGGGGGGGAAGAAACTTCAGGAGAAGTTCTGGAGGCTGAGTCATGGCTACGGGACTTCTCTTTCTTTTGATACCAAACCAAACCAAAAAGGATCAAACCAAACGAAAAGAAGTCCAGTTGCCATGACTCAACCTCCACATAATTCCACCTGGATGACTGAAAATCTTCAACATTCAGGAGATCTTTTCCTTTGGATTGGTGGGGTAGGTTCCTGGCTTCTGCTCCTCCAGCTGGTTTGAGGAGCTAGGCACTGTCTTATTTCAAGTTACTTAAAGGTTACTCTCCCCTTTTCAGACTTGGTGATCTCATTTCACTATGCTAGACCCAAGGCCTGTCTCTTGGGCACATTCCTTTAGTAAACTCATGGGTTTCCCATGTTGCTTTCCCTTAAGTCATGGGGGCTACCCTTGATGTACCCCTTGCCTGTTGATGCTGCTCTCTTAATCCTTTTAATTTTATTTCATCATAATAGACTTTTTGTTCTTGCCTGCAGAAGTTAATGTACCATTCATTTCCTGTCATGCAGCTTTTGAAATCTTTGTTCTCTTTAATCCCTTTCTGGGACACACACACAAGGGCTCCTTTGAAGCAGAAATCGAATGATGGAAGTTGTTATGATCATGTTCATTTTCAGATGACACTGATTGGACAGTCAGGCATGTGGGCAGAGATAGTCCTGTCCATGCTGTATTACATACTGGGATTTTCAGAAAGTGCCTCATCAAAAGTTCTGGAGTAAATTAGCTCTCATGGAATAAGGGGATATTGCAGTTGGTGAAAAAGAGGAAGCAAAGAGTTGGAACCAATGGGCAAGATTTTGAATGGTGTAAGAAGAGGACAGGGCTTTAGAGCTTGTTCATAAAGAGTCTTGACTATTTATTTGTTTGTTTATTTCCATCCCAAGGACTTTGGATGGATGATAATCTCATAAAATAAAATAAAATAAAATAAAATACCCACTGAGGTGGGGGGGAAAAAGAAGAAAATCTGCCTAAGAATCAAAATACTGTAAACAAAAATACAATGCCCAAGTTATGTGTTTGCAAACTGCACTGTCAGTCATAGCATACTGGTGAGATGACGAAGTGAAGGCATCTTACTGTTAGCACTCTCCTTATTTTTTTTTTTAAATGATCAGCTGCTCTGTTCTGTGTTATCGGATCCTGCAATTAACTGTATATGGCCAGCGCTTAACTGTTCCTGGCTGAGAACGTTATTTACACTCCTCTGTATAAGAAAAGATAACAGGGTCATAGCATCTGGTTAGCCTCCATTGAACTTGATACAACAGGGTTATTCCTATATTTTTAAATGTACAGTATCATGTGGAGTACAGAAAGAAAAAGCACAGAATGATGCAATTAATGTAGAAATTAATAACCTGGATATTTCACTTTATTGATGTTAAAAAAAAAGCTTGAAGGTCCATTAAAGTCAGTAATGTGTTAGACAGAGGAACTGTGGCTTCAACTTTTGAAACTAATCCAAGTCTTAGGTAATCTTGAGCCAAGGTCTGTTTCAAAGGGCTGTTAGGTGGGGAAATGGGTAGGGCAAAGAACCTTTTATGTCCTACAAAAAATGGGCAATAAGAATACAATAATGTGTATTCAGAAGCCAGAAGAGTTACGGTAGAAAATTAAACTTGTTACAAAACTGGATTTATGTTGTACTCTATCAGCACTGTTGGGGAACGTGCCAAAGGATGAATCATAATATGCTACTTGATGATCTTTCCTTCTCCCCAGTTTCTGCAACTTCAGTTTAATCCCCCAAGGAGACTCTTAATAGTTTGGCAAGTCAATAGTTTCTTTCCCCCTCTTATGCTGCTTATTGATATTAAGAATGTATTTACTCTTTCAGCTTACATCTGTGGCCTGGCTTTGGTCATGGGGGATGATATTATTATTATTATTATTCCTGAGGCGGCCTTCTTGGGTGGCTTTTAGAAGCAGTTGTGAAACTATGTGGTGTGAGATTTTACAGCCACATCTTTTCTCCTGCTCCTCCTTCATGGAGGTATGGCAGAAACAGAAGCCTTTGTGCAGTATGACCTTGCATTAGCGTGAAGTATTCACCTGTTGAAGTGACAGTGAGAGGCATGGAAGAATCACATCTGCCATATGGTCTTTTCCCTTGATAACATCAAGGAGAAGAAAACACAGTGTAAACTTAACCTGCTAATTAGATACTCAACAGGTCGGGGACACACTGTCCTGGTGAGCAGCGATGGGCTCCAGGCATTTTGCTAAATCATGGTTTGTTTAAATGTGATTTATTAAATAAACCACAATTGGCTAAATTCACACATTACCCTAAACCATAAGCCAGTGTTTTCAAATCACACTGGTAGAGAGGGCATAACCTGTTGAGTCAAAATCAAGCCACCTTATGCCTTAGTGCATTCTATAAACTGGGCCAGTGGGACTTCCAAACAACTTTGAATCCCAGCCCCATCTTTTTCTCCAACTTAACTATTGGTTAAGGAGTTAGGGGTGTCAGTAAAGGTAGAGGAGCAGGATCAATGTTGGCAAGAAGTGATGTGGGAGAAACTAAGGAGATCCCCAGTATGTTGATTTGGGGGATCCACATTATAAACCTAGTGCTGCAAGTTCTAGTACATGTCAATGAAGGCTGGTAAATGGTTCATGCTAAACCATTTTTAAATTATGTTTTATTGAATAATCCACAATTGGCATCTTAATCCATTAACTATGGTTTAAGAAAGCACAATGGTTAGTTCATACAACATGCAAAGCCACAACTAAACAGCTACAGTGTGACTTAATGTGAAATGTGAACACAGTCACTGAGTTGACACCTCAATAAACATTCTTTGGGATTACCCTGTACCAGATCAGCATGCCCATGGTTTTTTTTTTCCTCCTGTGAATGTGAAAGAAACAGTTGTATCATTGGAGGACACATACAGATGCTGTATGCCCAAGACAGTACTGCAACCATTCTGCTTTGCTATCTGAAAATTCCTTTCCTTTCCTTTCCTTTCCTTTCCTTTCCTTTCCTTTCCTTTCCTTTCCTTTCCTTTCCTTTCCTTTCCTTTCCTTTCCTTTCCTTTCCTTTC